CTTGGAACTTGAAATCAAGCATTTGATTTATAGTTAATCGATTATATCTGCAACCTTTGCTAAAGGTTTTTCATTTAAAAAGTACTGACCAAAAAAGCTTGTTCGATATCATCCATGTAAAATGTTCTTTTAATCCATACAAAAACAACGTAATTCATAACCAGCAGTTAATAAAAAAAGAGCATGTTTGGATCTACGGTATGTGGCTTTCTTACAGTGCAAAAGTATAGCAGGTACACTAGCAGGAAGAGTATTTACTTATAAATACAAATATATAATTTCATGTTTTTACAAATACTATTTACAATTTCATTTAATTACATATGAAATGTTTAAGGAGCGAATAAACCAAAGTTCATTCCCCGCTCTCTGTGTTCTTGGCTGCTGGATCATCACTCCCCTTGAGCTTATGGTGGATTTAAGAGAGGGGGAGGGAGAGCATTTCAGCACATGGCATCCATAGCCATGCTTGTTATTTGTTCAGACAGTCAGGCTCAGTCCTTGTTTATCCAGCTTGCCCTTTTGTCAAACCCCTGACCCTCAGTTTGGCATGCATGTGTGGCTATAAAGTTGAGGTGAATACAAATGCTGTAAGAACCAATGGCTACTCACTATGCTACTCACCTATCACATGATAAACAGGTAATAATACACAAGTTAGTCCCAGCAACATTTAGATGTCCCATTATTCTACACAGTGGTCTCTCCGTGTTTGCCATTTGTGAGCCTGGTGTAAAACTTATGCCAGGACTGTAGAGTTTTTCCAGACCAGATCCAGAAACCAGAGGTGATGCCCACTATCAGAGTCATCAGGTACTTGATCATGTAGACGGTAAAGTCTGGAGTCATGCGGGGCCCGGTCTGCTTGGGGCAGGGGATGGCCAGGCCTCTGCAGTTATGGCTGACCCAGTTCCTCTCCCAGTGGGAGCGGAAGGCCTGCTCGTAGAAGACGCAGGCGATAACAATGGTGGCGGGCACGGTGTAGAGAACGCTGAACACCCCAATCCTCACCATCAGTCGCTCCAGCTTCTCTGTCTTGGTGCCATCGTGTTTCATGATGGTGCGGATCCTGAACAGAGACACAAAGCCGGCAAGCAGGAAAGAGGTACCGATGAAGAGATAAATGAAGAGAGGGGCCAACACAAAGCCTCGTAGAGGGTCCAGGCTGCTGAGACTAACGAAGCAGACCCCGCTGAGCACGTCGCCCTCGATCTGCCCGATGGCCAGGATGCTGATAGTCTTGACGGCCGGCACTGCCCAGGCTGCCAGGTGAAAATACTGAGAGTTGGCCTCAATAGCCTCGTGGCCCCACTTCATACCTGCTGCCAGGAACCAGGTGAGAGACAGGATGACCCACCAGATGGAGCTGGCCATGCTGAAGAAGTAGAGCATCATGAAGAGGATGGTGCAACCTTCCTTTTTGGTGCCTTGGACGATGGTTTTATAGCCTTCTGGGGTGAAGCTGTCATTGCACACCACTTTGTCTCCCAGGAAGTATCCAGCTATGTAGGCTATGGAGACCATAGTGTAGCAGCCAGACAGGAAGATGATCGGTCGCTCAGGGTATCTGAAGCGTTGCATGTCCACTAAATAGGTGGTAACTGTAAATAAAGTAGATGCACAACAAAGCACAGACCAGACCAGAATCCATATGCGGGAGAAATTGATTTCTTTGTCAGTGAAAAACATGTACCCACCGCTCCTTGAGGGGTCACAGGGAGCTGCACAGTCAATCTCATCTAAAAACTTATAATTCAAATATGGTGGTACTTTGAGAACAGATGGGCAACGAAAAGGCCTGTCATGTCTGGGGGCCATGGCGTGGTCGTGGGTCCCCGAGACAGGAGTTGGGGGTGGTAGGGTGGCGTGGGAGGAATCGTTTTGGCCCACACAGATTTGTCCGTCTCCCAGCACGGGGAAGTTTTCGCAGCGCAGGCGCTCGGGCCACTGGAAGCCAAACTTGTTCATGAGAGCCTCGCAGCCCTGCTTGGCTCTTTCGCAGATTGACCTGCAGGGAGGAATGGCCTTCTCCAAAACTGTGCACACAGGCGCATACATGGAGCAGAGGAAGAATTTCAGCTCCGGCGAACACTGTACCTTCACCAGAGGGTAAAACTGGTGCACCTCGAGCCCTGCGTCCTCCTGGTTGTAATGTCCCACGAGATTTGGCATGATGGTTTGGTTATAGGCTATGTCCGTGCACAGAGGTATGGAAATCGGCTGACAAAATCCGTGCTCCGGGACGACTATTCCGTTGTCCCCTTGATACTGGGCTGATAACAGCAGAGGCAGCAGGAGTGCAACAGCCCAGGTCTTGCCAAAAAACATCTTCGAAAAAGTATAAAACAGTTTATAACCGGATTAACTGGACGTGAAGTGGTTTAGTGTCCTACCATAAATTCTGCAAGCAGTTCTTTAACTTACACAAGTGAAAACTCTGCGGCATAGACGTGTACGCTGCTCTCCGAGTGCCTGCTCTCCGATTTTAACACTGTTGGCTTACTTTTTTCTTTTCCACAACTCCGATCAATCCATCAAGGCAGCCATACTAAGCAACATAACCTCCGGTGAAAACTTTCAAAATAAAATCCCTTAGGTAAGGTAGCATACGTTTATTTATAGGCCTATAGCACATTTTAAGACACAGAGGCAAAGTGCTTTACATAATCATTAACACTTAATAATAAGACAACAGAGAGGAACACAATAAATAAACATAATGGAATAACAGATTCATTCAAACCATGCATAAAAGAGATGCAGAATAGTTTAAAAACAACATTGTAAATACGGTAGGTGCTAAAACAAGTTAAAAGGCTTCTGGTAAGCAGCTGTAAGACGAACATGACTTGTACAATGTTAATAAATGTATCAGCAAAGCACAAATAATGCTTATAGACAATAAATAATACCATTTGTTCATTCTTCTCATTGATATTTTTGTTATTATTAATGTTTTTATAATTATTATGTTTTCTTATTGCATTCATCAACCAAATACATATAGTATTTCTACTATGCATTACAGTAAATATTGATTAAATCCTCATACTCATTAGAAATGGATGACATTGATATTGTATTCATTTTTTTTTTAAATAATGGTATCTTGTTATGATATTTCAAAAACACAAATAACACAATCAGACACATTACGCATCATTTATGTATTCTCCCAATCGATATTATAAATGTCTATATAAAGGCAATGTTAAACTTGTTTTTGAACACTTGTGCTTTTATTTTGAAAGTAATGTCGCTTGTGTCCTGCTTGTATTTTTTGAAAATATTCTCGAGCTTGATTCCACAGCTGGATTGTGTGGCCCAACCTTTATACATTCTATGGGCCCAACCAGACTTTCAAGTTCCCCTTCAAGTAATATGTCCATGGGAGGAGGAGGAGGAATCATGTTATGCAGACAGTATCTTTTTTAGAAAATTAACTCATCTATGTATGTAATTTGGAACTATTTGGTAAAATGTATTGTAACACATTTTTATTTTTAGTTACAGAAAATACTGCAAATAATGCAATACATTATAATCACAACAACATCGACAAATATATTACAATAGGATTTACACATTATTTATAATTATTTAATTGATTAAAACCCTTATTTACTACCTTTTTAAAAGTAAAACAATTCAGAGATGTAATCAACAAGTGAACATATGAAAAGCATTAAATAAAAGTAATAATAAACTTCATACCAAATATTAAAAGTTTAATAATCTTAATTATTCTTCAAAATCACATACAATTCCAATTCAATTGGGGGTAGCTTTTGTTATTTTTAATGTACGTATAATATTAACATAATAATCAACAAGTGCACAATTGATTAAATGTGAAATGTATCATGATTTAATTGATGAATGTGCAAATGTGTTATTAGTGTGTAATTACACTTTAACAATCAATTTTGAAATGAATGTAGGCTATTCACTAGTTTAAAAACAAATAGTGTTCTGGTTTATGACGCCCCTGTTGTGAAATACTTATATGTGGAATATATATATATATATATACTTCCACCTTTAATACTTTCACCTGGCTGCTATATCACAAAACTGTTATTGGTAGTGGATGTGTATTTTGTGAATGGTATAATTATATAAGATAAGATAAGCTATCTTTGGCTCTTTACTTGCTGTAACAAATGTACATTTCCCCTCTGTGGGACGAATAAAGGTATTCTGGTTATCATTCCTAATATTATTTATGTATAGATTATTTACTTGAAACGTATTTTGGTTGTGTAAAAATGGGTGAACTCCATGTGGGCATAATAAACATAGACTGAATATAATAACCATAGACTGTATGTATAATACTTACCATATTCTGACTGTATTTAATAAGAGGACCACCTGTGCCATAATGCCAGTGCACAATGCCCTCAGATGTGGGGGAGGGTGGGACACTACCTGTTGCTATCGGTTGCTATGCTTGGATCTCCTGCTGGATGTTGATTGGATGAAAAACAGATTCGTCAGGCCAGATGGCGAATATGGCGCTGCGTCAGCCAATGTGCGTTCAGGTCGCGAGGGAAACATCGGAACTTTGGGGCGAGCGAAGGGGGCGGCCACCTGGCACGAGCAGCACTGGAAGATTATGTACGGCCGCTGAACAAAACAGTTAAACACCTAAAGTTGACCGTTACCAAATGTACGCAGGTAGGTTCATTCTGTACTTTACTTGGATCACATTATCTGTTTAGCGAAGTTAACCACATTTAAACGGCAGTTAATCCGTTTTAATATGGGTGAAAGTTGAGTTCAAGTTAGCCAAGCTAGCATCGATAGCTTGCTAGCTTAATCGCCTAACTTTAACGGCGAAGTTGATTTCCTTTCCCTGAAATAGTAGTGAACTAATGGTTTTAGTTTGACCCAAATGTTTCTGTTTCATCTGGCAACATCATATATTAACAAGTATCTTGTGTTTTTCCAGGCCAGTATTAAATTAACGTTAAAGAATCATTTCAAGGGAGTGCAGAATGGCATTTGATGGGCATCAGAGCAGATTTCCAAATTCACTTTTTCCTTCAAACCAGCATCAGGTAAGACACCACTTTTAGGACACAACTTTGACATTTGAAGTAACCTTACACATATGTTGAGAGTTTATAATAGGGAAATAAATGTTGTAAAACGGTGGAATCATATAACGGTGTCATAGCACAATACACTGTTCATTAGGCCTTAGATATATTCAGAGGATCAAGATCCCTTAACGTTCACTTTTGTTCGCCCTAATTGATTAAGAAACGAATCATTTCAGCTATAATTGTCTCGTTTTGTTCTCAACGGTATTCTTATATATTCTGAAGCTTCTGTGAGACTTACAATGAGTTTTGTAATTTGCATCAATCTGCTATGTGCAAGGAAGAACACAAAAGTTACGAAGTATTTTGTTTACGTGTAGTGAGCTTTAGATTGATTACCAGCCAGGGCTCAACATTGTAAATGTTGCACTTGCTCGCTCAGGCCAGTCAAAAATATTGCTTTTCCTGTGATATTGGTATTTTGTCAAGGAGTTTTGGGAAATCGTTTCGACATAGCGTTCCGTGAGGCTGATGTCATAGTTGATGAAATGGAGACGCTGTGTGCTCCGGCGCACAGCGAGCAGGAAGCGCGCTCCCGCTTCCGCGCTGCCGATCATGTTCACTACCGACGCGTCACCTTTCGATAAAATGTTTTAAAAACCGCCGGTAACGGGCCAAACGCCGTGAAAAACGAGTTTCAGATTAGATAAAGTCACCGGAAGAGTTAAAGGAAGTAGTATGAGATAAAGAGTGAAAGAAAGGGAAGGTGTTCGTTGCAGTGAGGTGGGAGAAGTACTAAAGTAGAAGTACTAGAGTGTAGGAATACTCTGTTACAAGTCAAAGTCCTGCATTCAAAATGTTACTCAAGTAAAAGTACAAAAGTGTTAGCATGAAAATATACTTAAAGTACCAAAAGTAAATCACTCAATCAATCAATGTTTATTTGTATAGCCCAGTGGACTTCACAGTTTGTACAGAATATCAGTATGACAATACGACACCCTCTGTCCTTAGACCCTCACATCGTACAAGGAAAATCTTCCAAAGAAAACCCACAGTTTAAAGGGAAAATGGGAGAAACCTCAGGGAAAGCAACAGAGGAGGGATCCCTCTTCCAGGACGGACAGACGTGCAATAGATGCCGTGTGTAAATTGAAAAGATAATACATTTACAACATAGGTAGTCCAAATGTTTGGAAATGCATGTGTCTATAATAATAAGATGAATCCACAAGGATGTCAACAATCCTCTGGGAGCCATCAGGGAAATAGTATGATGTGACACAGTGACAGGTTCAGCCACGACTCGAAATAGCTATATTCATTAGGGTAATAAAGTAACAGCAGTGTAGGATAATGTTCTGAAATGTACATAATGACTTCCGTTAAATCAGACTTGTGTAATATCCATTACACAAGTTGTGTGTGCAGAGGCAGAAGGCAGCAAGTGAAACACCCGCTGTGTTAGATGCAGTACTTGTAAATTATATAGATGTAGGCGTCCAGGAAAAAAAGGAGGAAAATGAGGAAGAACTCATTGAATTTTAATCTAGTTTCTAAATAAATTACTATTGCATCAAATATGTTCATTTTCTTTATTATTGGGGTACATTTTTGACGAATGCTTATGGGCCAGTAATTACAATGGTGGGGCCAGTGAAATTGAAAAGCCACTGGCCTTTTCCCTTAATGTCCACCCCTGGATTAACCATGTTTTTCTCTCTCTTAGGCCAGTTTCAATACAGGTGGGGGAGAGAATGGTAGAGAGGCCTTGCCCTTCGTTTCACCACAGGATCAGAAAACAGCAGTTGACATGCCCTGGTCTCACAATGCTTTTGATCCCTATAGCCTCATCAGTTGTGCCCAGAACAGCAGGTATTCTTTTTAATATGTTCAGGTTGAGTTGGTTATTATTATTCATCTGTGCACTATTCTGTAGTATTGGTTAGGAATACCACAATATCAGACATTTACTAGTCGATATCGAAACCAGGGAATTTCCACATTTCAATAGCCATTTTATTATCATTTTGCAAGGTATAAAAATATACTGCGTGCAAGTTGTATTGTGGAAGGAAAACAATTCAAGTATTACTGTTAAATAAATGCTTTAAGGTGACAATGAAAAGTTATAGCATAAATCAAGGGCCATGTTTTCTTTGCTTTGCAGGAAACCCAGTAATACACCTGACTATGACGGAGAGACTGATCTACTGGGCCTAGTGTCAAATATTGTCGATGAAGAAGATTCACAAGACAGCTACTTCAGTGAAGGGTATGTCAAGGTTTTATGTTTTCAAATTGGTGGGTTAGTTGTACAACTGCTATAGTATGATTTATGGCTATTGAACATATACATATCATAACAATATCTACACAAAAATAAACAAAATTGATACAAAAAAAGAGTGTTTTAATTAATATAGTTAGTTAAATATGTTTCCATAGTTTGTTATATATTAAAATATGTCCTTGATTATTTCTTTAGGAGTCTTCCTACATGTAATCCTGTCTGGTCTCCAAAGACTTTGAGTGAAGAACTGCTTCAGTATGTTCAATCGGAGGGTAAAGCGCAACAACACTCTACCTTTCTTTCAAACTATGTATCCCGTGAGGCTTTGGATAAAGCACAGGGACAATCAGTGGGCAAAGATGTTGAGGAGATTTATCAACAGTCCAATGGCCATTCCACCAATCAACAATGGCTTTTTAATTTGCCTAATGGAGACCGAAACAGCACTGTCCCACGTCCTCAGAAACTGCCACCAGGTCTATCAATCCCCAACACAGGAAACACCTACCTGTCACAGGTACAACAGAGCGGATATGACGACATGCCAGCTGAGAAAAACAGAGGGAATAGCCAGCCTAGCAACAATTTATCTGACCTCAGTAATGTCTTTAGACCTCAAAGTGAAATGAACAGCTCATACTTTACTCCTTATTACGAAAAGCAGTTCACCCAGAGCAGCACAAAACCCATCAGTAATGAGCAGTATGGGACACAAGACATTAACCAACTGGTCAGCAGTTTCCGGTCCTTGATGGCTGGTGAGCCTGGTAGCTTATGTCGTGGAGACTTCACAAACATTCACAGGCAGTCAGTGGGCATGCAGCATGAAGACAGCGTGGCTGAACAATGGGAAATCTCTGGTCCTGCAATGTCAACACAAAGTCATCCCGCAATGCAGAGTCAGAAGCAGCTGGTGGGAGCATTTGGGACACAGCAGATTGAAATAAATGGAGAAGTGAGGAAACAAACATTTGAGCGTGATGCCTTTCAAGATCCACCTCGTTTCAGCCCACAAAACGCAGAGTACTACCTCCAAAACCAAAGCAACATGACCCTTCACAGAGAGAACACGTCACTCCCCTTTAACATGAGCATGAACCAGTATTCAAAGCATCATTTCCAGCAGGGCCTGATACAGAACAAGCCACAGATGCAGAGAGAAGAGAGTAGGATGCATATGCCTCACTTTCTAGGTAAAGGCTTCTCCACTAACACTAACATGAGAGGGGGGGATAGGAAGCAGGTCCTCTCACATAATCTAAGCCTTGATCACCTGGGGAGCATGCAGTCTCGGAGAACTAATGGAGAAAATGGCATGGTGAGTGGTGGGAATACACAGCAGCTCAGGCCTCCCATGTATCCTGTGCATGACCCCAGAAGATATTCCAGCGTTCCCATGAACGCCTCTCACTTCAGCCCCAAATCCACACTGCCCTATGGCAGCGGTGTGACAGCCATGAATGTGGGTGATAGGATGTCAGCCAGCGAGTCAGCAGTTTTCAACTCCTATATCAGTGACATGATGACCTGCAGGGGAGAGAACACCTATCATGGCATGGCCTCAGCCCCGACACCGTCAATGGTGATGAATCAGGGAGGACCTGTGATCCAGCTTTACGTCTACGTGGACGAGTGCTATGAGCAGTGGAGGTCTTTGGAGCGGGACAGAAAGAGGGTATGCTTTTGAAATCTGATTTTGTGTCATTAATACAAACGTTTCGTAATCTATATTTTAAAAAGCTGCATATTGTCACAGCTTCAGTATTGCTGTTGCACACGGTTGTCATGTTCTAACGTGTTTTTTCTTAATTTGATTTTAGACAGAGGTAATTCTTACCAAGGCATTTCTTGGTAAAAGGACGGCGGCAGTGGTCAGCCCTAACCTCCCCAAAACTCCACCAAATCCCACAAGAATCGACCACCTCATTGTTAATCAGATGAGAGAACAAGCAAGGGTGAGACCTCCTAAATTAATTGCTTCCATACTGCCATCTCCAGGTGAATTTAGTCCCAGCAGCCCTGTTATGTTTGTAAGGTGATATAAGCAGCTTTATTTTGCACACTCACGAGAAATATATGCAATCTCCTGGAGATTTGTTTTAAATAATTGTTATTTTTAGCCCTGAATAAATGCCATACTTACACACAATACAACTTTTGTAATGTATTTTTGTTTAATTAAGTAATGTTCATGTGATGGCTTATTGTGTGAGAGGATATCACATTAAGAAGGGTATTTCTAAGAGTGACAGGGAAAAGTGTTGATTATGTTGTGTTGTATGTGTTGCAGGTGGCAAGCCTTCTGGATAGGATGGAGTTTCTGGGCAACACTGCCCTCCACATGGACATCCACACCGCCCTGAGCAGGCATCATATGGCCATCTGCAACACCCAGGCGAGGCACAAGGAGGAGCCAGCCAGCAAACACCAGCGGCAGAGAGCCCATTTCACAGAGGACACAGGTAAGTCATATTGCATCAGTTAGCGTATGTTCCTCTCTCTCAAATGCTGCTGGTACTTACTTGCTGCTTTTTTCATAGACACCCTGTTGATGGTCAATGCACTGAAAGACCTGGCTGCTGCCACGAGGAAGATCCGCACCGCCCTGTGGTGTGCTCTCCAGCTGACACTGCCAAAGACTGTCAAGAGTCCGGAGCCCGAAGTCAACAAGCAGGAGACGCACAGAGAGAGGGGCCCCTCTCCCTTTGAGGGATACTCCTTTAAGTTATGATTTAGCAGGCATCAAGCACGAGTTAAAGGTCACGATTACATTATAACCACTCCAATTGCCCCGATTATAATATTCCCAAAGGCAACTGGGTGTTACCTGGAAGTTTATAGTGACATTTTACCTGCAACACAGTGATCACTGCAAAATATGAACTGAGCAGTTTGAAGCTCAATGATGGCTGCGCTGTTCGTGTCAGTTCAAGATTTACATGAATCTTGCTCCATCACCGTTGTATTGAAAGACACTATTTATGAATTCTTCATTGTTAATACTAATTTATTGAAATGTATTATAACCTAAGTTCTGGGTAATCCCAAGCAATAATTGAATCATAAGGGCAGTAATTAACATGCCTTAATATAGTATAATCAGAACAAATGTATTTATCTGCAAACTATGCCAAAGAAGCTCAAACTTCAGAAAGCAAGGTTCAGTGTTTTAAATTAAAATGTATAATCACATTTTCCATAAGAAACATATAAAACAATATTCCCATCAGTGAAATGTTAAGTTAATAATAATTCTCTGAATTCTGTTTTCTTTGAAGACGCAATTCATATAATTAGTTAAATATAAACATGCTAAATTATAAAATGTTTTCTGAATGCTCCAATTAATCTCTGACATTTATTTTTCTTGCGTTATCTTAACACATTCATCAGAATGTGTTCTAAACCTTTAACTGTAACAAGATACTGACATTTGCAGCGTATTAAATGTATATGTACTAATCACACTTTCCATCTGATTCTTTTCAGATAGTATTATTAAATATTCTCATCAGTTTGACAGTTTGTCAGCAAGGAACCAAAGCTTGTATCTTTTATAAAAGTGACAATTCTCTAGCAGCATAAATCTGTACACGTACTCCCTGAGGAGGCTGTATGTATACGAGTTGTTCTATTCTCTTTTGTCCTTTTAATGTTTGTGTTGTGATTTTAACCGTTACTTGTTCTGTTAACCAACTCTTTAACAATAAAGCAATCCAAATGGCTGAATTTTTTTTTCTTTTTTATTAATTTCAAAAGCTGATGAACCTCATTATAAACATTGAAATTATGGTACATGATATGTTTGTGGTATAACTCAGTAACCAATCTTCTGTTTTCATTTTGGACAAAAATGCATCAAAATAAACACTTTGTTAGAAGTTGTGCAGAAGTGAAAGGCATATTGGCACAGAGGCTAATAGTACAAACTGGATTGAGTTGCATTGCAGGCATTCCTCAGATTTTACCGTGACCAATCCAATTTGTGTATACTTGCTGTAGCTCAGCCAAAGCGTGTTTCATACGCTGCTATAACAACATATTAGCAGAGGTTTAAGTTTGATCAGCGACAGAGGACACAGTCACACTCAGCGCATAACGGTTGGCAGCTTGTTTCCAATACATGTTTCAGGAACTGGTCATATCAGTATCCAAGAATAGCAGGGATTTTTGGACGAATACACATTCTTTACACATATAAAGAGAAAGAACTTAACGTAAGGGGACTGATGAACACATAATAGAATGTGCCAATGGGGTTCAGCTAAAGAGGCAATGACTGTTTTTGATTTCTGTCTCCTGAAAACCTTTCCACATACAAAGTGTCCTTTCTCTGTGCTTTATCTTTTGCGTTCACCTTTCTGTGTACGCTTCTTCTCCTTCTCTTTTCTGTCCTGTTTGGTAAGTTTGTCCTTCTCCCGCTGCATCTTGTCCCCTTCCTTCTTCTTCTGAGAATCTTCACGAGCCTGGTCCCGCTTCTCCTTCTGTCTGTTCAGCACCTCTGCCACGTTGGTGTTCTTGAACAGGGCTGACACTTTCAGTAAAGGACAGCAGGATGAAAGCAAATGTACTGTGCTATAAGATATTTACTGCATATTACCATCACCAGTGTGTGTGTGTGTAGTCGGGGTTATCCATTCATTTTGCAATTAGTGACACTGAATTTTAAACAGCTTTAGAAAGGATACATTTCTCATTCCCGATAAAGTTATTTGCACCGGTTAGCTCCTCTTCTTCAGCTTCAGTGCTTATGTTAAGGAAAGAACTGACAACTTAAGGTACCCCTTTACCCCAAAAAATAAATTAAAAAAACATATTTCCTCTTACCTGTAGTATTTTTACTCAATCTTAACAGTTCTGGTGCAAGTATTGGAGATATTGCCCATAGAGATAGAAAGAAAATAAAGGATATTCCTCGTCGTCCGTAACATTAGCGTATTGAGCCAGGAGGGCGTCCTTCCTTTGCTTCGACTCCCCGGAAACCTCTTTGTGTTTCACCACAATCTGGGCTTGTTTTTCTATCATCCTGGCGATGGCCTGGACTTCAGCTTCAGGAAAGAAAAGTAAAAACACAGACAAAGTGTAAATGAACCCAAATAACATGGAATACTTTTACTTCAATTAAAGCCCTTGCTTTTCACTGTCTACATGAAGGTGCGTGAACAGAAGGAGGCTCTTATGCCCCCATCTGAGCTCAAGTCTCCAGACAGTTTACCCATCCTTATGGATATGTACACAGTAAACAATCTCTTTCCAGTTACACAGTGACGGAAAGAAAAGTACTTTTCGACATCAAAAACAGGAGCTGTTTTTAAGTTTATTTTTTCCAGACAATGTTTATCTCTCTGGAAGACAGAAATACATTTGAGCACTCTGCTCCAAACTCAAAGAAAATGATTTAAAACTCAAACAGCTAATCCCTCTCTCTGTATGTTTAACTGGTATTGACAACAGACTCAGTAGCAAGCTGTCTTTACTCTGTTGAGTCAAGATTTAAAAGAGTTGACAAGTCTCCTTTTTTTTACTAGACTAAATTGTTATATAAATTCTTAGACCATATCACTTTCCAAGTTTTGACTGTATTGTCATAAGATTGTGTTATATTGTTCTTGTTTTCATTGACTTATGATTATGTCCAGCAATAATTGCCAAATTGGTGCACTGCAAACTTTGATGACTCGTTCCCTGAACTTTTATTCATACTGACAAGGTACACATTTAAAATATTACTTTTCAATGAGATAGGGAATGTGGATGAATTTAAATGACATACATACCATCATCAGAATCACTTTTGGAAGCTGATCTGTCGCGCCAATCGGTCCACTGCTTAATAATCTGTTTGCAGACATCTTCTACATTGTCCTCCTCCTGCACATAAAAAACATGTAAATGTTATGTACTAACAGTTCATTGTACTGTATAAAATGCGGGCTATCGAACCGGGTTATTATCACAACCTGTTAGTACTACATGAGACACAGTCATGTAGGCTACTTCAGAGATCCAAGCAGTGGTTCTGTGATCCCATTATGTCACATTAAAAAGGACACTTATCTATGAATGAATTATCCATTTGTATTTATGCTTTGATAACAAGGTGGTTCTTCTTTCCAAGGGGTTATTTCTTACAAAAATTAGCATAACATCAGGTTGGTCTACCAGAGGCTGATACAGAGGCAGTTTGACTGCCAAATGGCACACTGAGCATATGAAAACAGCACATAAACAGTGTTAAGTTCTGAATTCCTTAATAATAACAACATAAGGATCAAATGAAAGCCTGCCAATGCTCACCACACACGGTCACATATATAAGGTTGGATACTTTGCCACAGGGGGCTTAACAATCTTAACAGCAAACAACCCCTGCTGTTAGAGGATGATATCTTTACTGCAATATAAAGACATCTAAACAGTTTCAAACATGTATCACCGCCAAACAGCACTTTTACTTGGCCGAATTTGGTCGATCAGAGTCATATTGCTGATTACATGGCAGGAGAGAACTCATGAGCTCATTAAACTGCCGGTGGTGTTTTGATCAGAGACTGTATATGGTTTCGACCAACACCGTCGATATTTAGCTCCATAAAAGCTGACTGACATCAGCGTTGTCACTTGGCAGCGCCCGGCAGACGAGACGGACAGCAACACATGAGAAAGCCTCGCTGGCAGAGCGGGACGTGCCGCCCTGTATATTTACCACAAATGCGGATAGAATTCCTTGTAGCGCATCTTCTCTCTCCTCGTCACTCTCCTCCTCCTCCAGGACCCCTAAAATGTAGGTCCCATACACCTCTCTGTCCACTTCCAACGAGTCAAGACGATCATTTAGCCAGCTTTCAAACTCCCCGGCGTCTGTCACGGGCGCAGCCATCTTGGCCCTATGGGGTCTTTCCGGCGGTGCATGGTTGTCCTTTGTAAATGCCTGTCGAAAAAGGTACATGATACAACTTAGGTACACGTGTTTGAAATTTCAGCGTTTTTTCCTACAAACTTGAGGGTAACCGTCCAGGTAACTTAATTACAGTATGTTGACAGTAATTTTGTTGTACGCATATACACATTTAGCGGTTGAAGTATAACAAAGAAGTTGTTGCTGTCACGGTGCAAACTGAAAAAAAACTCGAAGAAAAACTCTGTAGCCTAAGTCATGCATTTTAGCTAGCTAAACATGTTCATTAACAGTTTGTTGTTGCAGTGGTTTGCATTTTTCAGACCTCAAATTACCTAAGTAAGCAACACATATTGTTTCTTTAAAAAGTAATTAATTTAGCATCACTGCATCAATTTATTCAGTGTGAGTTCCATTTCCACAACTGTAATTTGCTCAGTTTTCAGTGATACAGTTCAGTTAAGTACCATGCAAAGTAAACCTTTGTTTTGTAATAAAATCATCCACCTAAAAAGAAAAAACTAAACTAATTCTAAAAAGACCCACAACTTTTTATTTGTGAAAAAAAAAGTGAAATGCTAGTCATCTGAATTCTCATGACTATCTGGCATCAGGATGTAATAAAGCATTTCATATATGTACATGAAATAGACAAAATAATTGGCCACTGCTTCTATATTTTGCCTTCCATTATCCCCTTACCAAATCACCACATATTCCCACATCTTGCTGTTGGCCCTCTAATTTCTACCTGCTCCACATAAGTACTTTTGGTATGTACTCTGACCCCTGTAAACTATATGCTACATTAAAGCTTATATAAGCACAGGTTTTGTTAACCGTCCATTTGAATGAAAATGGCTGCTATAACTTTGCCATGCTGCTTGTCTGGCTTGTAAAACTAATTTATGCAGCCAACGCTTCAATCAGTGCAAAAAATGCTGAGTGTTGGCAGTTACATAAAGTGCCCATGCCACAAAAAAACAAGTTCTTGATTTAAAAAAAAAAAAAATAATGTCTGATTATCCAGCAGTTAACAGAAGTACTCAGGCTCTCACCCGTAGGCTATCGTCATGACATTACTATCCGATTTCAAAATAATCAGTTATCTTTACATTTAGTGGACAGCACAACATATACAAAAACAAACACAATGTATTTCTACCATCCTATTGAGAGGATTACTTATTTTGAAGATACATTTGTTTCCAGAAGGTTGTTAAAAATCTTTATTGAAAATGGGTGAAAGGAGTAGTTTTTTGTAAATTGTTACTGTTTAACATGGCTAGTGTTTGCCTGTGTGAGTACAAGCACAGATGACATGATGCTACCAAGAATAGCATGAGTATGACATCCTGAGTTTGACCACTGGGTGGAAGTAGAGGACATAGATTGGTTTTCCCCTCATGATAGAGACAGAGAATAAAGCGGAGTCTTGGATTTAGTTGCATGACAGTAGTTTGGAACTTATGTAGTATGTGATTCATTGCAAATTGCTGCATGCTTGTGCATCAGACGTTGTTAATTAAAGTATAGTTGTAAGCAGAGCTGTGGAGCAAGAAAATGCCCTGCCAGCTGTTTGTTCGTCCTCTTTCATTTGACACTGGGACAACAGACAACACCTCCCAGCTGTTTGAATACATTAAACAATGTTTTCATGTGAATGACTTGATCCTGCTTCCAGAAAGCACTTTGAGCAAGCAGGGTTATTATTTACCCCACCCATCAACAAACACATTCAACAACCCCTAGTCATACACCCAACACACACATGCCCACAAACACACGCTCCCCTTCCCACTGCTCCCACATAATGGCTTCACACGTCGCTGGCCTTGCAGTAATGAAGTGTGAAGCTTCTGTGACGCCACGGGGAAGCTACCGTGTGGAACTGCACTATTTTTGTGCACCACCTTCAATTCCTCACAGCCCAGATACATTTGCTCACATATTAAGTCCACTTTGTACTTTCTACAGGCAACATTCAAACTAACTTTCATCAAACACCCTTAAACAATTGTGAAACTAGACTGAGTTGGTGCACCATGCTCCGTACTACAATTGTGTGCTAGTGTTTTTCAGATGTTTCAAATTGGACCAAAGATACAGATTCTGTGTCCCACCTGCATGTTAGGTAATCATTTTATCCATGAATTGAGTACTGTATTAGAAAATATGAAAAGCACACTTTGTTGATGTTTGTGGGCTGATTGACATTCCCATGATTAAAATAAAAGTGCATCTTACTGTTACTGTATAAGATAAAAAGGTGTAAAATGTCATACGGTTGTTGAATATTGCAATAAAGATATTACTTGCGATAAATACAAATATGTTAGTGAACTCCGCCTGTATGCCACTGCTTGTTCACTGCAAGTATACTTTTGAGTAAAACTAAAATCTAAGTTCATTATCTAAAAGATATCTCTTATTGATCAAATTGTACATTAGGCTAGAGAAAATAGGCACACAAATTACATTATGCACACATTTTTAAAACATATTTGAATCCCTATGTGCAATTCACTGCCTTTTAGTGTTTATCAGTCATTTTGAAAAAAAAAAAAAAATCTATGTGAATACATATATGTTTATGAATTGTATACAGTATGAATGTGTTTCAAAGTTAAACATTGGAAGTAGTTTTCCAAAGTTGCAGTTTTATTGATGTCTATTGGCGCTCACTTGCCTTGTGTTATTGCAGGCAGTACTAGTACATTAATTTCAAATAATGCTGCCAAATAGTCCCCTGTTAACATAGTGTAATGCAAGTTAGAGGGAAACTGTCATTACAACAGGCGTATAGTCATATTTCAGGCTGAGAGGCCCAGGGTCGATGCATAATGCCATTGCCACTCTTAGTACTGCATAGCTTTAGGAGGCCTGTCCTATTTATATTGAGAGGCTGTGGATTGATGCGAAATGACGAGGTCCGCGAGGCTGCTGAGTGGGTGGGCATCCACATGCTCCACTCCACAGGCAACCCTTTCCTTCTATATACACACACACACACACACAGACACACACACTTGTCTTCATGTCCCAATGCCACCAGCCTTAGAAAAGCCCCGCAGTCTCAATGTGCAATGTCCTCTCTCTGTCAACATATCCTCTATCCCAACGTTGATGTGACAGAATATAACCAGAGCCCAGAACAACCAGGCAGTACAGAGCCATGAAAAACAGCAAGTGTACCGGGCATGTTCCCTCTTCTTCTCTAGCAGTCTGCTTCCTCATCACACATTAGCTCGTATTTTAAAATACTGCTAATTCTATCAAATAAGTAATATAGTTTAGTATGTGTTAGTTCAGAGACTGGACTTACATTTACATCATCTAACTTTTCTTTAGTTACATTGTAGGCGATAACTAATGAATGGTAATGTTGTGTGTTATTTCATTGAATGAAATTGATGGTATGATTAAAGTGATTGTTTTCATCTTTTCAGACTAGATGACGTCAGCTACCCAATCTCTCAATATGATGGACACCAGGCGCGAACAAGTAACTAACAGTAATTAAAACAACAAAACATAATAATTATATTTATTTTTATACATTAAGTTGTATTGTTATTGTTTACTGTTCAGGCACCATACTTATTTTTTCTTTTAATACGTACTCACTGTTTCTTTCTCTCACACACACACATACTGTACACAAAGTCTTTCTGTAGCTCTCACACACACTCTACTTTGCCCTTCCCCCCCTACACACATTTTGACAGACACACAAACTATTTTTCTGTGGTTAAAAAGAGAAGTGAGAAATAAAGAGCCAGCGAGTCAGTGCAGCAGTCTTTAGTAATGTCCGTCCATCCTTCAGTGTTCGATTGCCATTATTAAACATTGCTGATGGCTTATTGATTCTGCAACACAACATTAAGGATATCAGATCTTTGGTGCCAAGATTGTCTCATACCATTTATTGTGTGAAGAGTTTGCTGATTTAATGTTCGAATAGTTACTTGGCTCTTAGCTTAAAGCCATTTGACTTTGTTATCATAACTAACTCACTAAAGCTTAAAGCAATAGTCTAAAATTTTAACTAATATATACTTATTTGAGAGTTAGCAGATCAATACCACTCTATTTGCAGTAGGGCTGCAACTAACATTTATTTTCTTGAATATTTGATAAGCATATTTGTGAGTCAACACCTCTGACGGATAAAGAGGAGTCATTCATTAAAATATGTTTTGTTAGACTTGTTCAATGATCTGTACAGGGCTACTTAGATTTGAAATGCATTGGCTGCAAAGCAGTGATGCATGCTGGTTCATCAGTTTGCTTAAGCCTAGTGTCCCTTTGGAGGAGAAAAATTAACTTGAGCTGATACAGCCGAGGGAATAATCTGGTTATGCGTAATGAGGGCTCTTATTAGTAGTTATGCTTCTATCAGGTTGAGTGTGCTGGTGGTGGACTTCCCACATCTCTCTCTCAGGAGGCATGGTGCTTTCACTCCGCTCGTCGAGCTTTTTACTCTGAATTGCAGGCAATTAAAACCCTGCCATGTGAATGTGGGAAAAAGGTAATGAATATGGAACACTAACGTGCAGGAGTCCGTCGAGACCGCTCGTCGAGTTCTGAGAGTTCCTTTCTCCAAATCATCGGGAAGCACAAAGACTTTTTGACAGCGTTCTTTTCCTCCCGTCCCTCACTCGGTGTGCATGTGACTCCCCAAATGATGGCCCACAGGTTTTATAAATGCAGAGCCCATTCTATCCAGGTTGTTGACCTTTCGTGACCTCTGGCAGTGAGAAGAAACTTTTCTGTCGTTGGTTTGGCGTCCTGCCCGGCTGACCGTGCCAGCTCTTCTGAGCAGAGCAGAGGAATGATGGGAAGGGGGCTGAGTGGATGCGTCTAGACAGCCAAGTGGAGGAGGGCAAATATTTAGCCATGCCACTTGGGGAGGGGATCCAGGCCTCCTCCCCCCGCTAAGGCATGCCTCTTAGCCACAGAATCAGGCCATGTCTCCATCCTGCTCCCTGTGCTGCCTCACACTCT